CCAGCCAATCTGTATTATTGTCCCCCACTGTCCTCCACGATTGACCTCTACTGTCCCAGCACAGGAACTCCCTCCCTTCACCAGTCTCACCTCCTCATGTCCTGTAGGTAGAGAAGTCATGGCAAAATTAACATTGTAGTTGTATCTATAACCTTTATACTGTCGATCCCCAGGTTACAAACAAGATCTGTTCTCTAAGTCTGTTTTTAAGTTGAATTTGTTGATAAGTCGGAACATTAATACCGTACATAATAATAGTAATAATACAGTAATAACAAAAGTAACTACCTATGGTGCTGTACTTTACCCAGAGTTGATGAACCGCCAATGTAATGCATGTGATCATTGTTTTTACCTCAAATTTTGAGTATAATCAGCATTCAGGCAGTCCCCTCATAATTACGAGTTGGCCCTAAGTCAGATGTTTTTAACCTGGCAGCTAACCTGGCCTGTACTATCTAAGCCGGGCTTTAAGTAGATTTTGTAAGTAACTTCATACGGTACTGTACTGTTCCTCGAGCTGATGAAAGTCGTGCGTGCGTTCATTATTACCAACTTAAATTTTGAATATAATAGCCTTTATAGAAGTCTGTCCGTAAGTACAAGTTGTCTGTAAGTCGGACTTTCTTGACCCAGACACTGCATGTATACAGTGTCTCCTTTCGGTCAGTACAGTCAAACACCACTGTAGGACTGAGTTCCTACTACATCATGAATGCAGGCCAGGATATTGATGAACACACCATGCAGAGGAAAAACTTTCAGTATAGATAAATAGACACTTTGTGAACATGGCATGTATGTGGTCTTTCAAAACCTTCATACAAACAATTAAATGGTTTCATACTGTAAGTAATATATATATAATCCCAGCATCTGACCAGGTCACTGGTTAAATATGAGGGTCTGGTCCCAGGAGTTGGTTCTGTTTGCTGAGGAGAGCAGAGGCAGCAGAGAGAAGAAGACGAGGAACAGGCAGCTCCCCATGTTTATCAGGGCAGATCAACCT